TATATATATATATATATATGTATATGAACGTACATACAATACTAGTACAATACAAGTGTATGCAGCACCGTATGTTCCATCACGCTCCTACCATATCTCCTACTGGAAAGAAACCTGAGAAAGGACATGACAGCTAAAATCTGTAAAATGCTGTCGCGCTACTACTCTTTGAAAAAGTGGATGTTAACTACACAACAACACTTTTTTGCAGTCTTGATGAAAATAGAATTAATGGAAATAGATTAATTGAAATCGCTAAAATAACTGAAATCTATTAAATTAATAAAGAAATTTCAACAATTTCAGCGATTTATTTTTATCAGGAGCACTGTAAAAAGGTGAATATTGTTGTATAGTTAACATCCACTTCTTCAGAAGACGATAGCGCATGGCAGCACTTTGTGTTACCAGATTTTGGGCTGTCATGTCCTCTCTCAGGTTTCTCTTTGCTCCTACTCACTTAAATGGTGCACTATAAATGGCGACTTCCGGATGAGTTCGCTCCACTCTCTCTCGATCCCTTCATTCTCTCTAACCCAATTTCAATAATTCCATTGCGCATAATGGCGGTGAACCAGGTCGATATTCATATATCAATAGTCGATTCTTATATTCAAGACCGTTTTCAATCTTAAGTCTTGCTACGAACCAATTAAAAAGAGAGAGAGAGAGAGAAGCAGCATTTATTATGCGCTCTAAGACAAGTTCTCTCAAGCGCGGAGACCATAATACAAAGATATTTATAGGATACGATCAACACGACAAAATGCTACAAGCATTTTTTTAATTGGTCAATTTGTCAGTTTGCAAAATTCTTTCTTCTAACTTCATTAAACGCTTCAACGTTTGTAGCGAGACTTTGACCACAATCGTAGTCGGGTCTTATATATAAGACAGTCTTAGTCCGGTATTCATTCTTATTTCAAGACTGTCTTAAGTAATGTCTTAAAATGTTAATATGGCTTTCTTATTGATTTATGACTCTTCAAGACAGAATTTAAGATGATCTTAAATATAAGAACTGACTATGACTGTGTTCCAAAATTCACAGCCAACGCTGAAAATCTACAGTTTACGTATACTATATATTTTCAGCACTGGCAGTGAATTTTGGAACACAGTCTATGAATACCGGCCAAAGAATCAATTTATATATAGAGAAAATTATATTATTAGGGAATTTTTGCAATAACGTAAATCCAGATATCATAGTCACGTTATTCTTTTCTTAAGTAATTATTATAAAAAAAATATCTTAACGTTCACCGTATTTGAATAAACAGTATTGCAAAAACTCCCTATTAAATAAGAAAGATACAAAAAAAGAGAAAAATGTGCTAACACACATATCTATTATTAAAAATATAAGATTTAACTCGAGTGAGAAGCACGCATGCGAAGAAATAGAATATGCTAATAGTTATAACTCTAATTATAGAATCGATAAACATGCCAATAGTTTTAACTCACTTAGAACATTAATATGCAAGCAGAAAAATAAGTTATCACAAAAGAAAAATACTTAATATAATAAAAATTTACATACTTTACAGATGCTTCTATATGATTTTGAGATTTACATGCACATAGAGCTTGTGTCTAAAGACGTTAATATAAAACATGATGAGCGTAAGTCTGATGGAAGACTGCTCTACAAACTTATTGCAGGAAGAATTAGAGGGACAATTAAGACTTTACTTAATATGATCTTGAAAAAAACGGATTCGAAATACTAGCTTAAAGTCCGATTGCACTAACGTTATTTTAATTTTAAATAAGGCTTAAAACTCTCGCTCTTTCTGTCTCTTTATTAGCTTTAAAAAATGAAAGAAAGAATTAAGTTTCGCTTAAAGTCAAACTAACATTGATACAATAGGACCTAAATAGAACAAGCAGTCAAATTTTTGCTCCAAAGTTATGGCTCGTGCACATAGAACGCGGCAATACTTGTCGTGCAACGGAAATTGACACGAGAGTCAATCAGTTCATTGTTTTCTCGTAAAAGCGAATGAATGATTGGCTACTGCGCTAACGTTGCCACAAGTTGTGACAAGTGTATCACGTGACAAGTGTTATCGCGTTCTGTGGCTGGTATTCATAGACCGGTATTCGTAGTCGATTCTTATTTCAAGACTGTCTTAAATAATGTCTTAAGACGCTAATGCTCTTTGATGGGCCTAGTTTCCACCGAAGGTTTCCGGATCAGGATGTAAGAACCAACCAACTACTTGACTAAGTCAAGTATTCTCCTATTATAATCAAACAACAGGGGAATGCTCGACTGTAGTTGGTTAGTTCTTACATTCTGATCCAGTGGAAAGGTCATTGATTCATGATTTTTAAAACTGTACTTAAGACGGTTTTGAATATAATAGCTCCTGCACACAGAACACAGCTTGCCGCGTAGCGGAAGTTGACGCGACAGCCAATCAACATCCCGTTTGCTCGGAAATAATAGATATATAATTTTCACCATGCGGTAAAAGTTGAACTCAATCCAATTTTTGCCGCACGCCGGATACCGTGCGCGACACACGATATCCAATAACAATGTACCTTTAGAATGAAAACATCGATAAAGTTACTCACAAAGTACACTCATTGGATATCGCGTGTCGCGCGTGATACGAATATCGCGCTAATGTGCCGGAGACATAAGACGTGAACTAAAGAATTAGTTCTATTCTTGTTGACATTCAGAGACAAAAATAGAATGATACTTGTATCATCTTGTGTCAACTTGTATCATTAAATGGAAAACATTCTAAATCGTTAAGCCAATGAGAAATACTGCTTTAGATTTACTCTAACAAAAATAGAAATAGCAGTAAACTTATCCATAAAGCGAATTTCAATCGATTGAAATTCACTTTATTGTGAGGTTATGGATAAGTTTACTATTATTTCCATTTCCGTTAGAATACATAAATCTAAAGTTAGAATACATAAATCAATATCCAAATTGGCTCATCGGCTTATGAATATCGCCCTTAAAATTAGTTTAAGCGGCACGCATGCGTGCGTTATCCACGCGCGTGCGCGCACATTTTCCAAATGTTATTAGTAAAAAATTTAGTCAGATTCAAGAAAAAAAGATTAATTGAGTATTCTAAAATCGCATATATCTAATGCATGTGACTACATACTAATTATCCAAATGACATTTTATATTACATATTTCTAAAAGATTTATGCATTAATTGAAAATAAAAATGAACAAAATTGCTATATGTCCTACGATTTATAGAATAATTCTCTCTAATTTAATTGCTAATCAATTAGACCTATAGCTCCATATAATATTAATATATTTTAATGATATTAATTAAAATGTACTAAATAAATAAATTGCCGATTTATCCAGCAATTATAATTTTATAAAGTTCAAATTTTTGAAAGCGAACGTGTGACAATTATAAATACTAATTTAATGTATTACACACACCTTTCAAATGTTTGATTATATATTTGATTACACTATATAATCCTTATTATCTACTTGTTCACTTTCGCAGATCTTACAAGCTCTAATCAAGTCGTGCTGGTTTGCGAAAGTATTCATGAAACTATTATTACATTTTCTGGACAAAGAGAAAGAAGCAACGATAATATTGTCAAACATATTCCTTTTTATCTTCTTTTGATTATATATACAGAATGTTCAAATAAGGTCGGGATTTACTTGAGAAGATGACGTTTTTGAAAGAAATATTTCAAACAAAAGTTGTAAGAAAAAATCTATTTACAAATCTTATCAGTTTGATTTTGGGTGGCGTCGCCAATGTTAGATCAAGATCGATTCTTTTTTACTGGGCTCTATTTTTTATTTTAGAATATAATAGCCGGTGTTAAGAGCGTTTCAAAATATCTTTAGAATATATAAAATATCAT